TCTCTCTCTCTCTCTCTCTCTCTCTCTCTCTCTCTCTCTCTCTCTCTCTTGCAAGATTATGATGTACGTTGTAAACCAACCACAAACATCAAACCCAAATCTGTCCAAAGACCAGAAGAAGATAAACACAATGAGTGCGAGCATTGTGAGGTTCTCCTGTCCATCTTGTTGAGCACGAAGTAGCCATACATTTGTCTGCTGAATATGGACTTACTCTTAAACCACCACTACCTCCCCCAGTGTTGGGAAAACTGGGAAAAGTGGCTGTTTTCCCACTTTTTCGAAACTTTTCGGGGGTCGGCAGAGGCTCGGCAGTTGGGCCTTGTGGGCCCCTTCGAAAAGCAAAAAAAAACAGAAGACCAAGTCCAGGAAGGCCGTGCACGAAGTTGTGCGCACATCAATACTCACAAGAGAGTATCTAACTACGATTGTGCCCGGTTTCAGGTTGTCGTTGCTGCTTTTTTTGTTTTGTTTCTTTTTTTTTTTTTTTTCCATGCCCTGCCAGGGAGGCATGGCGCAGTCCACGGCTGCTGACACTTTGTGAAGGAGGGCGTGCCCACACTACAACTTTGCAGAATGTATGAACCTGCTTTCCCACCCTAAGTTCGGTTTCAAAAAAAAGTTCTTCTCTTTTTTCGTGGACCTGACACCCCTGCCGCATAGCCCTCGCTGAGGACATACTGGCACAACAACTTTGGGGCAGGTATCTACCGTGTATTTCGTCCAGAGGGGTGTTTGTTTTTTTTCTTTTTCTTTTTCGTGGTTGTGAGTACGTCGTTTTCTGAAAGTCTGGCCGTGCTTTGCTTTTTCTTTTTCAGAAGAGTACCAGAAAAGAAAGACAACGGACCCCAGGCTCGGCAAAACTCAGTCCGCAGTGAAAATCAGGGGCGGCAAAAACAGGCTCACAGGTAGTGGTGGTTTAAAAAGACACAATAACCATCCCAAGTAGCAAATTTCTGATTAACCTGAACTCGGGCACTCAGAGAGCATTTAGGAAGTCAATAACCATAGCTAGGTGAGCAGAGAGAGAGAGAGAGAGAGAGAGAGAGAGAGAGAGAGAGAGAGAGAGAGAGAGAGAGAGAGAGAGAGAGAGAGAGTGTGTTGCGTTATTGACTTATTATAATTTCCTTATTCGTTGGCCACTACTGGACTGAAGAGCATGCATTGGTGTCTGTGTGCTTGATCAATAACATGCAGTTCATTCCAAAGCTGGTGATCGATTTTGTTGGATCTCTTAAGGAAAGGATTGTGAAGAAGATTGCACTTACAAACCCCACCTCCAAAACTGTCATCTACACAGTCAGGCTGGACAGCCCCAAGGAGTTTGAGATTCATGAATCTGTCATTCGGCTTGATCCAGCAGCCACGGTGGATTTCCCAATAGAATGTGTGCCTTGTGTCTCAAAGCCAGTAGAAGGCTACGTCATCTTCCAATCCAGACGAGAGAGCGGAGCATTGGCAGCAGCCACCCTGGTCTTCGGCCTCAGGACCCAGGTCAGCTAACCAAATTGTCTGCAAAACTCTTCTCGCCTCCTTTCCTGCCCTGCCCCCTGCACCTGTTCTCTGTCTCTGTCTGTCTGTCTGTCTCTGTTACATACTCCAATGAGTATGGGCAGAACCAAGAATCAACCAATATAGGATGAGTTTTTATGCAGTGGAAGGCTTATAACGAACTGACTCACATAGACTGACCTACATGGCATCACTCCACACACATACAATCATGAGATGGTGGGGTCTGGGTCAT